CGCTTTGTGCCAAACCCGATCGAAGGCCATCGCAATGTCCAAACTAACGGCCAATGCCTCCCCCTTGGACACTTCTGCCTCCGCCCATCTATGAGTTAGGTAGACCAGAAGATCACCAGTTGATCGACCATGGCGAAAGCCGTATTGGCGATCACTAAGCAGCTGGTGATCCTCAAGGTGTCTCATGAGCTGGCAATTTACAATGCACTCCATTGTTTGGAGAACAAGGAGGTGATGGCGATAGGCATGTAGTTGGACAGGTCTTAGCGGTCGCCTTTTATAGGGATCGGGTGGACGAAAGCGGTTTTCCATGATTGTGGGACTACGCCTTGGAAGTAGGAGTACCAAAAAAGAGTGCCAACTCTGGAGCACACGTCCTCAGCACAATTGGGGGGATTCCGTCAGGTCCACTCGACTTGTGGATGTCCAGGGAGAGGAGTGCTTTGCGAACCGAGCGCTGTGTGAACTGCACTTCCGGTATGGGACACTCACACCGCGGGATGGTCGGCTGCGTACTCCCCCCATCATCAAGAGTCAAGTTGGACGCAAAGAAAGAGCCTAGCAGATCGGCTTTCTCCTTTGCGGTATGGGCCAGTGAGTCGTCCTCCCTGTGCAGAGACCGAAGAGATGGCTGACAGAAATTCCCCTGGACAGCCTTGGCGAGAGACCAGAATGCACGGGTTTCGAAGGAAGGCGAACTAGTTTCTCGCCAATTCTACCTATATGCTCTGACTTTGCCTTGGCAATGACTCTTTTGAAGGACCTAGAGGCGGAATTATACTTCTTTTTTAGAGTGCTGGTGTTTACATCCCGGGACGTGCGTCAGCCCAGGCTTGGTAGCACTCCTGCTTATAGCATGATGCTATTTTACAAGAGCGACCAAAGCATGGCTGAGATTTGCCTCCAATGGGCACCACAGAGGAAGGAATAAAAAGTTCCATACCCTGAAGTACCACATCAGCGACAAAATCCGCAACAACGTTGGGATCGTCCGGCGAGAAGCAAACCCGCCCCCAAGGGTAAAGGATGCAAAGAAAGACCGCATCCCATCCCAATCGGCTGACCTATAGTGCCAAACACGGCGGCAGCCTGCAGAATGTAACTACGATTTCAGCGTGAGTACACCACAGGGCACCACACTCCGAACAAGACAATGGTCCGAGGAGCCTAAAGGGGCGTCGAGTCCGGGTGAAAGGTCAACAAAGGTCCAACAGGTAAAGTGCATGATACTCCACATAAGGAATCCGCGTATGCGAAGTAACCTGTTTTGTCAGACCATATGCCAAGGCAAAAACATGAACAGATCTCCCCGCATGATCGGTTAAACGTGAACCAAGCCATTCGGCCTGATGGGCGTTAAAGTCGCCGAGGATCACGATCTCTGCGGAGGGGATCTGCTGTAGCAACGAATTTGTAACCATTTTGACGTTGTCGAAGAGTCGGTCTGTTTCGGCATTACCGCTATGGGACCTATAGAGGCACCCGTAGACGCGCGGATAGTCGTCGCTGTCTACGCGTAGCCAAAGGATGGACAGGTCCGAACCTTCAAGCCCGCCGAGGCATCGACAACAGATGTCCTCTCTGACGTAAACGCAAACTCCAGCCCGAGGCACAAAGGAGTGTTCCAGTTTGTACCCCGGGTAGGAGAGATACGAGACATCAGCCGGAGAAGACACCTGCGTCTCGGTCAGAAAGAGCAGAGCCGGCCTCGCCGTCTCGAGATGGTAGTGGAGCTTGCAGTCAAGTTTCCGCCAAAAACCAAAGATCTCCATTTTTACCAAAAGTTCTAGCCGTAGAGAGTAAACAGCACAGCGTATATGGAAGAAGTGAAATATCTTGGCACTGCTAAAGGAAGTTAATGATTAAAATTTGAACAAATTAGGCCAGTGTGATTATTTTTTCCAAATAAAAAATATTTTTGCCAAAACGGACATGTTTAAAACATATTCACTTTCAGCTTTCACAGATATCAATTAACACCTTACTCTAATCTTGAATATAATGTAATAATCAAAATAAACTTCGATTTTCATAGTCATTGTTTCTCAATCTGGGACTCGAATTATGTCCAGAAAAATGAGGCTCCCGCATAAAACATTATATTATTTGTTTGCTATAACCAACCTAAATTTAAGAAAACTACTGATTAATAAATAATGAAACTATCAACATGATTATAAAATAAAATATTACCTAATTAAAAAAAATTACACACATTACATACATTTAAACGAATTTTCAACGCATTTGTATGCTGCAATTATGAATTTCATCTCACTGCGTGTAAACATGTCAATATCCTGTATTTTATGTGATGATATTAACATAGTGTTTAGCACGTGAAAATAGTGCATTCTGAAGCAACTTCGTTATGACATTCACAACATGAATGAACCGGAACTCTTTACGATGTAGCGCTATACTTTTATTAGTTTGTGGTTGCAGCATCATGTAAAATAGCAGCTCAGTGCTGCTGTGTTTCGTACGGTGAGTCTAAAGAACCGTAGACCCTTTTTACTGCAGTCGAGTCATTCCATCTTAGTCCTCAGGGATAATGCATATGTATTTTGATTCTTAATCAAGAATAAACATAGATGTATGGGCTACAGCATTAACTTAACATCAGGTGGACTGTGTGCTCGTTTGCGTGCGTGCGAGCGTGCGCGTGCACATATGCATGTGTGCGTGCGCCTGCGTGTCTGCTTGTGTGTATGCAAGCGTACGTGCGTGCATGCAAGCGTACGTGCGTGCGTGCGTGCATGCTGAGCGTGCGTGCATGCGTTTGTGGTGGGCGCGTACGCGCGCGTTTGTGTCTGTGTGTATGTGTGAGAGAGTGCGTTCGTGTCGTCTAGTGAATTTTATATCTCGCCTATCTTTAGAAAAAATGCTGCTTCAATGCTTTTTAAATAGCTGTATGTGTTATGATATGATATATAGGGTCTACTAATGCTGTAAAAAGTTACCAAATCTCATCTTGATTTATGTCACTACGGGAAAATAAAAATAAAGTACAACTAGTTGTCGCATTTACAAAGTGTGTACTAAATGCTGTATCATGGAATAGGATTTCTGTAATAGAAAATTTTACGTAGAAACACCATTACGTCTGCTGGAAAACTTAAATAAATACTATTTTTAATTTTAAAAATATGAAAAGGACAAAGATAATGTGAGATTACCGTTACCGTTACAGCCTTTTTAAATACATTACTGAACATAAGCCTCTCCCATAGATTACCACATAGAAAGGATATTTGCCATAGTTTCCACACGTAGCAAGCGGGTTAAAACCACAGTATTTTTAATTTTAGTAATTATTAGGGAATTTGTTTCTCTCTGTAGCCTACGACACCCACGGGATGATATGGGGTAGTGAATATTTTTACACCACCAGTACACGTTAACACTGCCATTACGGTGTGAAATTAGCTTAGCTTAGCTTAATCAAAACTAAAATAGTATATTCTAATCGTACCGGCTATTTCGGACTCACGTCGACTAACCCATGGTGTTTTCTTCCCTCTGCCGCATATGAGCAAGGCCACGAGCACGTAAAAGCCATGGGCCTAGGAACAATGTGCATCTGTAAGCATTAACCTTCGCGACCCCAGTACAAATATAGCTCGCCGCCGGCCACGTTACTGCGGAGGGTAGAAAGAGCAACACGTTTTAATAACCGCACCTCTTTACCCCCGTCGGACCCGTCTCCATCGCATCAGCAATGAAGACCATCATCAGCCCATCAGAGATGAGAAATCCATAATCCAGAGGGCTAGCTAGGCTCGCTTAGTCCACTTGGCGCAGCTTCTTTGGGCCGGCTTTTTGCCTTAGCCTTTGGTGAGACAAAGTAGGTTTCTCCTCCCAACGACAAGACCGGAACTATCTTTTATTTCAGTTTATATTATTCTAATTTTTGAGTTATGATCATGGACGTATAAATACCTGCTTAAATACAAATGTACATAGATTACAGTCTATAAAAGTCCGCTGCTGTACATAGGCCTTCCTCGTAGATTGATCTTAAGGAGGATTTTACTATAGTAGCCACGCTTGGCAACAGCAGTTTATTATTATTTTTTGTTTTTATCAGGAACATGTTGCTGCTTATCTCCTGTTTCATTTTCCCTCTGTTGCCTCTTACCTCACCTACTGCACTAGCATTTCTTATTAGTTTGTGTCACCTGCAGGACGATATGGGATACGTCCTTGTTTTTGACGTTTAATGTTTGGTTTAGATCTCAGGTTTAAAAATAATTAGGATTAAAAATCATAGACTTAGCTTAAAATCGCTAAAACAAACATAATAAGGGGATAAAGGGAAATAATTCTTTGATTCTTTGATATCAAATCTAGGAAAAAAAAAGGAATAATATATTTTATTATTAATTATTATTAAAGTAATCTCCACTAATGTTAATTTATATTTAAAAAGATAAACTTAAATAATATTTTAGTTATTTTAGTATTGTCTGTACTTATGTAACAATGCATTCGAATTAGGGTTTTATTTGTGACCAAATGAACGATTTTATTTGGATTTTGAACGAATCAAAATGGATGCTGGGTGTGAATGAACTATGTACTGAAAAACGAACAGCTTTTTATCGAGTTGTGTCGTGGGTCCGATTATAATCGGGAATCCGGCGTCACGGTTTTGTTTTGTAATTATTTAGATAGTGACAAATCCTTAAATGTGCTCTTGATAATAGGATTGATCAAAATTATAGTTCGAATTGGCAGTCCCCGTGTCGGTAATGTGTTTATACGAAGGTATCAGACGAGCTTCCCGCAGGTGGCCCTATTAGGATGAGGACTTTGACGGAAATATTAAGTGTCGATTTAATTCCATGACTGGTAACCAAGAAGCCGCCGTCTGCAGAGCTAAGTGCGACATGGCGACTATATTTTGTCTAAAGTGTTGCTCATGTGCTGTATGAGCCCTTAGAAATGAAATGCATATACAGGAAGGAACGAACACAACTCTGACAACATGTACCAAAATGACAGAAGAAGTAGACAGAAGACATGGTGTGAATGGTAACAGCAGTAATAAAGCTGTGAATGAGGATGTTCCTGGTCACAATTCTGCTCTCTCTACAACTGGTGGAAGGCTTAAATTCTTCAAAGGTAAATGTATCCTAATTGCTGATATAACAAAACATTTACATTTTTTTAATGAGTTGAGAATAACTAGAAAGTCATTCATGCTCTGATAAGCATACATAGCCATATTTGACTGTGCAGTTGCTAATTGTCTGAATACAGCCTCTGTGCTATTGTTGTAAGATTTATAAGGAGTTAGAAGTACTCTAAATGGAAACAGAAATAATTGTGCTTGAATCTTTGCTCTTACTTACACTCTTATGGCTTTTAAATTATGCATAAGGTTTTTATTTTACATCATTTTGTATGAATATAAATATTTGTCTTGTTTCACAATATTTGAAGTATCAAAAAGTGTGTGGCTAAATAGACAAAGAGTTAGCAAAAGCACCATTAGCCCTATCAACCTTCTCAGATAGTATCAAAGGCAAGACCTATAAATATAAAATTATTTTTTTTTTATTATGTCATTAAAATCTAATTCATGAAATAACTTGAGCCATGGTATTTCAAAAACTGGGCAATATCTAAAATATCATATGAAGCACACGACCCAAGTTCATCACTGACAATTATTATTTATTAATAAAAAATACTGCCAGTGTTATAGAAATTGTCAATTTGGATTTTTATGTGCTGATTGCTTACAGTTATTAAAATAATCATGCCAATTTTCTTAACTTTGAAGTAGAGGCAATTTACAACATCATTTGTTATATTTTTACTGATACTGATCTTGAGGAAAATGATTGCCTGAGCTACATTTCTTTTTATCTCCTTTCTCCATTTCAAGATCACGAACTACTGTAAGTTTACACATGCTCCAGGACATGAAAGTGACCTACTAATTACTTGTGTTAGCTATTTTGTAACACACTTTCCTTTCATAAAAAAACATAAGAAAATGTTTATGAGTTGAATGTCAAAGAACTCAAAAACATGATCACTTTGCCCTTGCTTGTTTTAATTTTACATTCAATCCTGGGCATCCTGTTACAATTCTTTACCAATATTTGTAAGTGTTGTGTCTTTTTTATAGAAGCATATTCTGCATATATATTTTTTTATATTTTAGACTGTTTTGCTAATTTATCATTGTCAGTAATTAAGAAAATAGTATCTAAGAGGCTGTTTAATACTATATTATTTTGTTTGCAAGAACATCTTAAGCATTATGCAATTAAAATTTATAAAGTTCATAAGCTTGCTACAGTTGTAACTAATTAAAATGTTAATAATTGTATTCATTTACATAATGAAAGTAGCTGGTAATTACTATAGATTTTCTAGTGAAGTGACTAGTTGGCCATGTACTTTAATAGCTGTATTGGCATGCAATCAAATATGAAAGATTTTTTAATGTTATAAAATTGGTTTATTGATTAGTTATTTTACAAGACATCTTTATCTGTCCTACAATCTATTGCTGATTGTAGGAATATATCCCATAAAAGGAGGGATATATTCATAAAAGAGTAATGGTTAGTACTCTCCTTGTAACTTTCCTAAACTTTATGTACTAATAATAACTTTTGTTCTTTCTTCAGCCCAAAAAGGGCTGAGGCTTCCTAATTTTTCCTATTGTAGAGAAGATTTGCCTCATTGTTGTTGCCCATCTCCAATGTAGGTATTTTACGTACAGTGTAAATATGATATTATATCTATCAATGGGAAGCCATAAGAATTATCTGGAATTTCTCATAGTCACCTTTTATAACAACTTTTTATACATAGTAGAGTGTGCGTCAGCTATGTTATGGTTGCAGCACAAATGGTTCGGGTCAACCCATTGGTGCTGGAACCATTTGTGGGGAAGTACCACACTCTCACAGAATACCAGTGTAAAATAGCAGCTAAATGCTGCTTTGTTTCACATGGTGAGTGTAGAGAACGGGAGACCCTTTTTTCTGTAAATGAGGAATTCTATCTTAGTCATCAGAGGTGACTATACGTCTGTATTTGGATTCTAATTTGAGGATAGATATAGGTGTCTATTGGCCACAGCATTCACATAACATCTGGTGGGCTGTTTGTTCATTTGTTACCCTTATTCTATATTAAAAAAAAAAACTTCAATGGTTGAGGGGCCAAAATGAGGTGAGATGATGGATTCTCTTATGCCACCACCAAAACTCTAGCAGCTTTAGGTCTGTCCTTCTTCATTATAATTCTGAAAATCTAATATTTAGCATTCAAGATTAACCTTTGAAATTACCATTTTTGTTGAACCAGCCACTTTGAACTCTTAATTTAAATAAATTTTATTATTCTTCTTTTTAAAAATTAGTACTTCATTTATTTCTTTAGGTTTTGTTTTTACTGTAACATCACTATATTTAATAGCATGTACTCCAAGAAAATACCTGTTATTTTTTAACATCATCATCAATATGGAAACAACGCATCTTAAAATGGCACACAATTATCAATAGAGTTATTGATTCAATTGTTTTAATTTGGGGAATTTTGACCTAACAAATGAACCACATGGCCATCCATAGAAGAAGGTGAATAATGACGAACAGAAGGCGACGGTGGAACCTGTCTCAAATTATGGCTGAACTAGCGTCAGGTTTTGATCTGTCAAAATATTATTAGATAATTTGCGGTAAATCAGTGAAATAAAGAAAATTGCCAAATTGGTACTCACCTAACTGACTCTACCTAAGTAACTCACAGCAAAAGGCATGCGCCAAATCTTTAATCATATTACAAATGGGCCAAGAAAAGAGCCAATTTTTTGTTGAATTGTTACTTGTAATGAGAAGAGTGTGAATCCTATATGACATTTGCAAAGATTCATCGCAGTGGCTAGATCCAAATGCAAACAGAGCTCAAAATGAAACATTAGCCAGAATCATATGGTGACATTTTGGTTTTCTACTTTTGATGAATAGAACTATAGAAATTCGATTTTCTCATACAAAACTGCAATTTCATTGGTAAAGACTACTTATAATATTATCTTGATACTACCACCAATCAGAGTTCTTGAAGTTTAGCATTTCCTATAGTTGATATGATTCTCTTATACTTTCAACATACAATAGCAATCATGGTAATGATAAGAGAATATTTACAAAACAAGTTCATGCTAAACATGTTTAAATAATAGCCAGACAAAATTTTTTTTTCATAACTATAACATATAATTTTTTAACATAACTATTTAATTAAAAAAACTTGATATAAACTTATAAAAACTAATACCATACTTAAGTTATGGTTATTTACATACAAAACTATCTCATAGTATTGTGAAATCAAGTCGGACCTGATGGATTTCACTTTTATAAATTTCAAAAGACTTTTATCAGTTGTAAATTGGTTAATTAGGTGATACTTGCTCATGCTACTCAATAAGTATGAACTGATATTATAGAGTTAAATCAATATTACACTTGTTTATAATAAGAATGTAGACAGGTGATTAGAATAAATCTAGACGGAACATATTTACTAAGAACAAATATTACATATTATGCCTATCATTGTTTACTCGAACATGTAAACAACGAAATGTGTTAAACTGGTTGGGCAATACTGAACTTAAGCAATTGGCTGAGTTTTTTATGCCATCCAGGCGAGGTTGGTAGCAAATCGATGAGACAACATGATTCATTTTGTGTGAAGTTGCAGCTAAAGTTCTCAGTGTACCTGGGAGTGAACAGTGCTATGAGTAGGACATAAGACACACGTGATGCTCTGGAGGGACTGGTGATTTTCATTTTATTGAAGCAATCATGGTGTTGTTTTGACTAATGAACTGGCAATATCAAAATGTAATCTGAAATATTCTCACTATATTTGTAAAACCTATTGTACAAGTAATAATATTCTACCTTTTTACGATAAGAATGGCACATTGTTGCTGTGGCTGGCAGCATCACCTATAGTTGGCAGTGTGGTCACCTATTGCTGGGTGCTAACTAATGTCGCTATTGTAGAGCCTCATGCACTCTTTTAGGTCAGTCAATCATATAAATTCAAGTATTCAGCGTGAATTTCCTTAAGTAGAATAATTAGATAACAGAAACTGTATTAGACATGAATGATAGAAAATGAATATTCAGTATTCAGCCTATTCGGCCACTTTGCTTAATATTGTTATATAGTTGGGTATTTGGCCAAATACCAAATCATTGACAAAGTAACAACACATATTGCTCAAAAATTAATATATTTTACTAACAAAACATTACAATGAATACTTAAAATTTATCAGAGGTAAGTTGAGATGAATGAAAACAATTTTTTATTCATAAGCTACCGATTATGCTTTTTCTTCTAGCTTCTGAAAATAGCCTCTCACTGTACTGGGTGAAGATAAATAATTTTTTGTAAATTCTTTCAGTTTTGGATACTGTTGTATGTTAGCTGACCACCACTTGTAAGGGCCCATTGTCTGATCTAGGCAAGCCATTTTTAGATAAAAATCAATCTCATTTGCAATAGCATTTTTCTTTTTCACATCTTCAACTTTCTGCATATTTTCTGTAGAAACTTCCTCAATACGAAACTGTTGCTGGCCAAAGCGTCAAATATTCGGAGGCTAAATGTTCGGTGCATTAGTCAAGAGTGTGGCTGGATATTCGGTATTCGGCAAAATCACTATTTGTGGCATCTCTTATTATTTACTTTATTATTCTTGTTTTGCATCTATTTGGAAGGGCATAAAGATCTCATAAGGAGCCACACTGTTTTTATGAACTGACAATTGATCTTTCACATACAGTTCTTTTAGTTTCTTTTAAATTTTTTAATATAAATAGGGTTTATTAGTGGAGAATGCTATAAGCGTTAATTTAAGGTGTCTTACAATAAAGATTAAATAGATAACTTTTTATTGCTTTAGTGAGGAGTACAATTAAAGCTAATACATGGTGCCACTAGATGTAAGTGTTCTTTATCTTATTCTAGTGACTAACAAATCTGATGACTGCTTACTGTAAACATAGATTATTGAGTATAGCAGATTATGGGGAGTATGCTTCATATTTTATGGTAAGCTGATCATCTGAATTTGATTTTCGGTGCTAGCACTCAGAAGTTATTAGTATAAAAGTTAATTACCACATACTCAGTGGTGAAGTATATACATTGTTTGTAATTTTAACAATTTTTGATTCCAGTTGTCTATGGTGGGGCTACTCAAGTAAAATATAACAGTAACATAATACTTCAGCTGTTTATTTCTGACCTTTGGGTTTTACATGATTCTGTTTGAGTTCCTACTTTACTAGTTAAAGTCCCTCAGTTCTGGGTGCCTTTTGGCATTGACTTCCTCCAACAGCTTTCATTGGACTCTGTCCGCTGCTACCTATCCTATCCTCAATTCCAGTAAAAATGGTCTCTGGTTATCTACACTCACCATACAAAACATGGTAGTGTTGAGCTACTGTTTCACACTGGTATTCTGTGAGAGCGTGGTCCTTCCCCAGTTGAGCTGACCCATTTGTCCTACAATCGTAATATAGCTTCAGCATGGCTGAACTATGTAATAAAGGTTAAGGGACCATGTCATGCAACCATATGTGATGCAGGAGATTCTCTCTCAGGTGTTGAATGTTTTCTTTTTGATAGAGATGCTTTGTATTTTTTCCAGCCACTTGCTATTCTTTTGTTTGTTTCCTAAAACATTTGATCGCTAGGTGCAAGAACATATACACATATTGAAGCCTTTTTCTACCCAATTGTATGTCAACTAATGTTCTGATTGTTTTCATTTCGACACCTACTTCTTTTTTCAGCATATTTTGCTGGAAGGATGTGCAAAGTGAAATATCGTCAGCAAACCATATCTAATGATTTAAGAGGGTACTATTGATGTTGAGGCCTGGAAATTTGTGTGAAGTGAAATATTGACTGCAAACCAAATTAAGTGATTTAAGAGGCTGACATTGATGTTGAGGCTGTATTCATCCCATTCTAGTCATCTGAAGATATTTTCCAAAACAGCAGTAAACAGTTTGAAGGACAGTGGGTCTTCTTGCCTGACACCTCTGTTAATGGGAAATAAGACAAATACAAAGGAGTACCTTTGATTCTCGTTTGAATCTAACTGTAACATAATTGGTATCAAATCATTTGTCATAAGTCCATTCAATTATATAGGCTCATTTGGAGACTTATAACAGACACTTAATTCAATTTTCGTTTACTTTTAACTGGGTGGTTACTTTGGTTTATCTACAGAGGATCATGTTTTGTATTATACGAGGGTGACACTGAAAGTTCTTAGAAAATCAAAAAGTGAACAAACTAGCAAGTGATTAGTTTTATTGTATCATTTCAAAATAGTGTCCATTTATATCAATACATCGCCGCATCCAATGGAAACACCGAGAAAAGCACTTTGCCCACTCATCCTTAAGAGTCTCTTCGACGGAATTTAGAAATGCAGCCGCTGCTTCCTCAGCGTCCATAAAACGTTTTCCTCGAAGGTTTTCTTTTATTTTCGGAAATAAATAAAAATTTCAAGGTACGAGGTCGGGGTTACAGGCCGGCTGACACGGTAATTCCACGTCTGAAGTCGCCAAGTAATCGATTGATTGCTTGGTGGTGTGTGACGAGGCGTTGTCATGGTGAAGGAGGATCCTACTGCGAGGTCTATCCCTAACTTTTTCCAAGACAAGTACCAAACAATTGTTAGTGTACCACTCAGCAGTAACTGTTTTTCGATTCTCTAAAACAATTGTTGCGTAATGACCTGTCCTTCCGAAGAACAAGGCCACCATCTTTTTTACCACGCTTCGACCTCTTTTCACTTTAGTAGGCAACTCTTCAGAAGGAAACACCCAGCAGACAGCAGACTGTCTCTTAGTTCCAGGATCATAACAATAAATCCAGCTTTCGCCACCTGTAAGTATGTCGAACACAGCATTTGAGTCACCTCCGTTAAACCTTTGAACCATTTCACAACACCAATCAATACGACGGAGTTTTTGGAGCCCTATCAAATTATGAGGTATCCACGGGGCACAAAGCTTCCTGACCCGCTAAATGTTCATGGAGGATTTTGTGCACTTGACTCATACCAATGTCTTAGCTTGTCGGAATCTGCTGATAAGTCACTCTATTTTCAGTCTCTATCATACACACCATGTCTTATCTTCATTCGTCGCCGTAGAACACGTTTCCTCACGCAGATCATCGATTAGATTAGTGCGACTACGTTTAGTCATTAAATCAGTTGTAAACAGTGGCACGAGATGGAGCTTCGTCGCGAAAGGCCAATCGAAGTCTATCATAACTTTCTTGTTGTAAGTCAACAAGAAAGTTATAATGACATCGAAAATCATAAAAAATTATTGTACGAAAATTTTCTCGCGTTAAATTCATTCTGACGTCAGACAATTTTCAAGTTGCCAATAATATTGGCAAAAAGTTCTATTTTCAAAATTTGAACTTATTTTTTATTATGTCGTTTACAAGTGGCCAGTTCTAAAAACTCTGTGTCGCCCTCGTATAATGAAGAGGAGCTTCGAAAGTTTTTCGTAGCTTACTTACCGTTTGAGTTTTCTCACATAGTAAGCAGGTAAGGCCTAATATTTCTGAAGAATTTTGTCGTATATTGCCCAGCTAACTAGATTCATCACTTGGTATCTTAAACAAAATTGTATTAAAATCATTTTCGATTTTTCTGCACATTTGCAAGGTGAGATGAGAGCCTACCCCTTTCTAAAAGGCCGGCAAAACACCTGCTATTCCTCTGGTGTTGCAGATGTTTATGAGCGACAATAATCACTTACCATCAGGTGAGCCGCATGCTTGTTTGTCTCCTCTTCCATAAAAAAAAACCATGGGCACTTCTCTTACTAAATATTCTTTTTTTGCAATGCAATGTTATTAACATTACAAATATGTTACCTGTGTCACCACAATTAAGCTAAGATTGCTTGTATTAGGAATGTAACAGCTGAGTAGGAAACTTCAATCAGGCCAGCCTTTGCTTTATTGTATGTGTATGGCCAAAGCCGATGCTTAAGCGCTTATTATATTATACAATTTTTAGAAAATCTAATTAGGAAGTAGGAAGGTGTAATCGTAGTTAGAACAATTAGGATCCGATTTAGTCAAATTGGAGGTCCCGACCGCTCTACTTCCTAAATTGTTTACAATTTAGGACAGTGTAATCGCAATGTTACGATTTAGAACAACCAGTCGGCGCCCGCGCTTTAATACAAGCGGATGTCTTGAAGTTTTGATAGAAGCAGTTCTGATATCAGAGAGCAGTACTTTAAATCTTAATATTAATATCAGGTGGCTATAAAACGTTATGTCACCATCAAACATTCTTTGGCACTCACACTTTATCAAAATATCGTGACTTGTTTTTCAATATGTTTGGATACCAAACTTAACAAATAATCAAACTGTTTTATAGGTGGTAGAGCCATTCTGCAGTTATATTAGTAGTATAATTGTAGAACGAATTGGTCGGCTCGACCGAGGAAGGACACGCTCTCACAGAATACCAGCGTAAAATAGTAGCTTAATGTTGCTGTGTTTCGTATGGCGAGTGTAGAGAACCGGAGACCCTTTTTACTGGAAACGAGGCATTCCATCTTAGTCGTCACAGGTGACAACGCATCCGCATTTTGATTTGTAATCGGAGATAGATGTAGATGTCCATGAGCCACAGTAACCACTTACCATCAGGTGGACTGTGTGCTAGTTTGTCACCCTATCCTATAAAAAAACTGCTTAGAATCTAAAAATATATAATTATATTCATATTGGACAGTTTTTTTTTCTCAATGACAAGCACTCTTTTCTCTTTTTTTAATATCCATTGTTCCCACCACGGCTAAGGCAAGTCCTATTTTCTGCTGTTTTGATAAATACGGCGCCATCGATCAAAGGTGCAACCCCGTCGATACTTCTTTACGAATGCGCATCGTCACGATTTAGAATTCAATTCAGTGTAATGTGATTACTAACTTCCAATTTAGGTTCCTAATTAGATTTTCTAAAATTGTATAATGTAATAAGCGCTTTAGATCGGACTATAATTACGTCGTAGAATACAACAAGAAACATTTATTACTGTAAAAATGATGGAACCGATAATTATACTTATTTGTCTTTTATTTACAAAAGTCCACTGCTGAACTTAGAATGTAATTAATTATAATATTATTATATAATAATTATATCCTGTTATTTGTAAAAAAAAAACAATTTTTTTACTTAGAATAAGATCATTAAAAATAATGTTTGTCACATTTGTGTTGCGCAGATGGTAAGTTCATCCTGGAGCTGGTGCGGGGCAGCGCGCGCGAGGGCGAGCGCGCGGGCTGGGTGTCGGTGCCGCGCAAGACGTTCTGGCCGCCGGCTGCCGCGCCGCCGACGCCGCCCGCCCCGGCGCCGCCCAGCGCCTCGCTCAGTGTCTCCGACGACAACAGCTCCGTGCAGTCCTCACCCTGGCAGCGCGACCACTGCTGGAAGCAGCCCACGCCACGTCGGAACGTGTCCAAAGAGCTAGCCATGTACTACTGTCGCCCGAGCACCTTGCACAACACTGCCATCGACGTGCCCGCCCGAATTAAGCGTAGGAGGCCCTACGATACCAGCCACTTGGACCTACTCAACGGCGGCGTCGCCAGAAGAACTCTCACCAACGGACTGTGCGACAATAATAGAAACGGCGACGTCGGCTCGCCGGACGAGAAACCTTGCCGCGGCGAGGACGTCGTCGACGCCCCGCCGCCCGACTCAAAAACGAAGACGAATTCGGATGACGACAGGCGGACGGACTACGACCGCGAAAAATATTTTCATATGAAACTAAAAAAACCATATCAGTATCATAAGTTAAGGGTGTACAAAAAGACGAGGCCGCCGACGAGACGCAAGGTCTTGAATAGAACTATAGATAAGCTACGCGAGAAGATATCCTCCCTGCCGGTGCTGGTTAACGCGAAACTGGCGAACTGTCGACAGGAGCATATGATGGTGTCGCCGAGGAAGCGTATTTTGAGGGAAATGGAGCGAGTGAGCCTCGAGGATCAGGCGACGAAGCGTCGAGCTAAAACAGTACCCGCGCTCAGCACGGCGTCGTACCCGCCGTCGCCGGGGCCCAGCCATACGCACAAGCCGGTGGAGACACCGTCGCGGCCGCACAACGGCACGGCCGTACGGAAGGAGACGACCATGACGAAGAACGTCAGCAGTTACAGTATCCACTCGCTGCTCAGCAAGCCTGACGAGAGTCCGACGCGGCGATCGCCCGAGGCCAAGCCCTCGCCTCACTCGTACGCGCCGCCGCTGCTGACGGAGTCGCCGTCGAGCGTGCACTCGCCGGACCCGAGCCCGAGCCCGGACGGCTACAGGTACCGGTACGGTGCGTTGGCGTTGGGCTCGCCAGGGCGGGGGCCGATGGCGCGGGATTCGCCGACGCCGCCGGAGCTGGCGCGTTATCGGGGCGGTTACGCTCCGACGTCGCCGTACGGAGTGCGCGCGTGGGGCGGTCCGTACCGGGACATGCCGTATCGGGACGTGCCGTATGCGTATCCGTACGGCTACGTACCACTGTACCGCGCGCCGCCGCTGTGGCTGCAGTACGCACCGCACGCGCACCACGCGCCGCCTGGGCCCTGGGCGCCGCTGCCCCACCCGCTGCTCACTGACCACATACCCAAGGACGAACACACCTCCGGTGAGCAATAGATTTTATAAGCGTCTGATAGATACCAAATTTCAATTAGAGGCAATCACAGCTTTGTCGAAAGTTGTGGACATCATGTTTTAGCTCATAGAAAATTAAGTTTTGTAAAAATTCGTTATGTAAAACAATGATAGTATAAGTTGTTCCTGTCACACCACATTTTACATTACCGCCTTTTTAAGTCTACTGCGGATCATAAGCTTAACGAATTTGGTCAGCTTTCCTTGGAAGATGATGCCAAGAGCCACATTAAAGGCACAAATTAGTAAATATTATGTATGTAAGAGTTGCAAAAGTCTTTTACAAAAAATTCCATCGCCAGTGAGCCATAGCAAGTAAAAGTCTATAAAGTAAAATACAAAATAATGCTTTATAATCACGGCAATTAATTTTGTCTTTATGTAGAAAAATGATTTAAGGTGACATGTAATTAAGTGCTCATTTATTACATTTGTATTACATGATGAATGCATCCAATCGTAGTGGCCGTGAAACTGAAGGCTAAAATATTTGCCTTAAAGTTGTACTGTAATAAAACTTCACGAAAATGTACAGAGCAATGTCAGGAGTAATCTAGGGTATATTTTAATTAAAACATCCAGATATTTTTTGTAAAATCGAAAACCTGCCTTGCTAATCTCATTTGTGGTACACGATAAAGTTTACATTAAGCTTATGTTGTACCATATTATATTCTCTGTATTATCTATAATTTGTTTAATAAATAAATAAATAAAATTCATGGGATATAAAAATGTTATAAACAAAACCTTTCGTGTGCTATTTTCACCGAAAAGAATCTTTACATTTTATCTTTTTATTAATGCAAAATAGATTTTTGGTGTTAAGAAATCGTCACTCTTCCTTTTGTACGTGATATCTCAAAAGTCGACTCGGGGACCTATCAGAATTGTTACCTGCAATAAATGATTTAAGCACCATCTCGTTATGTATGTGATATCCATGAAATAAACAACTTAGTGAAGAGAAGCAGTGTCAATGATGCAAGACAGCTGGTGCTGCGAGATCACCAACCTGATGTGAGATCATATCTTGAGACAGACCTGTGTCTAGTAATGGATAGTGTTTAAGATCTAGGAAAAGAAACTGTTTTCTGATTGAGAAATGTATTTTCCAATCTAAAGAACTGTTTACTGTTCTTGTCCTGACCGTTTAGTGTCTCGTATTATTCAGATGCCTCACATAAAACTGGTTTGTTTCAGATTTGCCATTGAACTTGTCGAAGCACTGAAGCAGTCTTGTACGTGGGCTGAACGCACGCTCATGAGAATTCACCTCATTGCACTTCTTCCGACGCGGACCAACGTGATGATGAGGCTCTGACGAAGTGTGGGTGCCGAGTAAATATTAAGATTTAGTGTAAGCGGTAACCGCTTGGGGAGCCCGTGGTGTGAACCCGTCAATCAAACGTAGTCCCGTAAATAAACATTCCATTGTCGTACTCGAAGATTGGCGCTCAAAATGTCCAAAAATCGAATCCCACCTAACCTTCGGTGCCACAACTGTGGCTGATATTAATTGTAAATCTGTAAAAAATGTTTTTGCGTATCGGCAAAAAAATTATTAAAACAAACAATATTTTTGTATGAAATGTGATTTTCCGGCGGATCTGATTGTCTGGAAGTCTATTTACAAACTTATGTATATTATATAGGTACTGAAATATTACTATTTTAGTATATGTAGATGTATGTATGCAGAGTCAAGTGTGTATTTTCATACGAGTTATTTGTACTGCAAGAATATTTTAATATTGGCTATTATTTTTAGGGTAAGATACTGAGATGATCTAAATAAACAAAACACTTATCAATTGTTAGCGAACAGTGCCTTGAAACAAATGAAGATATTATATGAACATATTTATTAATGAAAAAATATTATCTAATAAGTATGTATTTCATTGATGTTTAATCTATTTTTGGGCAGAATGAGAAACCCTTCCTACCACTGTCGTGTAAAGACTTACTTTTTGATATCATTTGCTAAACACTAAGGCCCTTTTACATTTGAAAGAATCCATAGTGACTATGTTCGATCTCATTATTTAATTTAGAAAATATAACGAGGTAAAGACTACAGTTTTGGGATCAAATTTGGATGTGTGTTTATGTTACATGTATATTGAAATAAAAGACATTGTATATAATTTTGTGAATGGTGTAATATTGATGAGATATGGGCGTAAATTCTATCAGAGCATGAACCGCTTACGATATATTATCGGTACAAGTTTATTACCCACAAATAATAATTATTGTAATTTGTACAGTATTTTTATATTGAGTATTTTATGGCGATTTAAACGATTGGTGTCGTATAGTAGGTGTTCGTGGCGCCGGCCCCGTTCTTGTGTTGCTCGACGTTGCATTACGATCCATATTGCTATGTGCTTAAGGGTCGGATCGCCGCGAGGGCTTTGAGATTAAAACGTAAGAGGTAGTTTACTGCAATTTTAGTTGAAGTACGGGGTTATGTATCATAAGGACAGTAAAAGATGGTAAGGGACTGACTTCTGATGTAATATTATCATTAATGGAATAATTGTATAAAATAGTTTTGTAATCAGAGGCCTACTCTATCAAACCATATTAGTCCCCCAACAAAGTTGACTTAGTGTAAACATAGCCTTAATACATTGTGCTCAATTTAATTCACACAGAATTAGGGAACTATAACTTCAACCATGTTGTCGTGTATGGGAGCCAACTGGATCTTTATAGCCCCTTTTATATTGAGCTTTAACAATCCTCATTAATAAATAAAAGTAATTAGGTGGATTGGTAAAGTTCGAAGCGTGTCGACTTCGATTTCGTGAATGATTTGTAAATGTGAAATAAAAATAAATTATTTCGTGACTTCTTTTGACTCTTTTTTCACGTAGACACATCAAAGTTTTTCCTTTATTTTCGCATTTCATGTGAAAAGGTAGTTTTAAAATTGTCTATGTGAAATTAAAATATGAGAATATATGCATTACACTATTATTATATTATTTATATAATGTTAAGAAAGTCAAATGTCATTTGCTTTACGTTTGTAGTTATTAATTAGTTTTATTCTTTGGAAAAATAAATCTAAATAGACACAAAAAAGTTTCGGTCTGTATAAATTGTCTTTTTTATTGATAGGAGTCGGAACAAGGAAGTACAGTCCAGTGCCATTTGGAAACAACACTTATTGTATGTTTCTTGTTTAAAATTTGAGTACAGTTGTCTCCCCGCGACAACGTTGCGTTGCCGCTTTTGGTTTAAAAGTGAAATATTTTTGTACGCGAACATGTAACCTATAAAGTATGTGATAGCGCTTTGGAAAAAAAGTGAGACGTGGTGATGCAGGGGTCAAAATCCACTTAAACATATTTATCATACGGAATCATAGCTATTATCCATTTATCGTAAGATGTAGTTATGTACTCGAATAAATATAACTTTTTAAAAAAGACCTTTGCTGTTTTTCTGAAATTATTTTTAATATTTCTGTACATTCTTTACTCATGTGATAATATGGCTGAATTACGATGATAGGTACACTATTTATGATTTTTAAATGACACGTGACGTGTTTTCGTAACGAGCGCCCGATTCAGGCTGCGTTTGAGCGAGTGTGTACTTGCGCTCATATTGCCAGTCCTTTGAAACGCGGCCAGAAAACCGGCAAAACATGGGGCGATGGGCATGACGAAGAGTATGATAAGTATTGTGGCCACACTACGTCTCTTCCTCCTTTCCTCGCTACTTTCCATACTTCTCGACGAGTGTGTGGCAATGTAGAAAATGTTTATTTCTCGAACAATATTCTCTTTCATTTCAAGAATAGGTATTCTGGATTTGATTCATAAAATTACTAAGGAAAAATTAAATGGGGATAAGATCTGGCGATCTTGGTGGCCAAGCGACGTCTTTACGAAGCGATTTATCAAATTGGGAAAAATTTCGCAGCAGTTTTGGTAATGGATAGATAGATAAGAGTTCCAATGGGTGTCTCGTGTTGTATGGGACGTGGCATCATCTTGTTAAAACCATGTGTTTAACCGTAAGTGAAGGAAGGATGCTTTTCTTAAAAAAAAAAAACTAAACATTGATTATGTGCCGATAAGAATTACCGTCTACAGTATGTCCTCGATAATTTAGAAAAAATGGACCCAATTATTACGTGGACTGATAACGCCTAAGAGCAAAAATATTTTTATGATCTGTGGATAACGCACTACACTAAACGCTCACTGTGGAGCAGTGTTGCCACCTTAGTGGATTTTCCACTAAATCTGGTGGTTTGGAACCCCCTTTTAGTGGAAAATTTTTGCTTTTAGTGGCTAGTGGTTTTTTTAGTGGATTAGGAATTTTATCATAAATTATAAGAACGAGTCGTTTCATATAAATAATCGTTTCAAACGTCTATTTAGCCATATTTTATACTTTGAAAATATAAACCTATATATTTTAAGAGTATATTTTACTACGCAGGCAACACCAATTCATTTCCATAGACATTGGATTGGAAAGCATTAACGGGGGTTCTCCGTTAAATATATTTAGTATAAGGCGACTAATAAAAAACGATGGAATGCAAGGGCGAGATCTATCTGTATCTCGCTCTCCGGAATACTAAATAGTTGAGAGGGATCTAATTTCCGCTTTCTATTCTATTTGACAGCATTTTACAATACTTAGTCCAATGTTTTTGAACTCGGTCACGCACGGTTACTCGGATTCAGTGCGTTGTTGTTTGTTTTTGTTTCGTTTTGCGATTACGAATTTTTAAATGAAAATATTATTCATACGACGCTATGCCGAAACCTCAATATTCCCAAAAAATTAGGGATTCTTGGCTTCAAGATCCCGATTTAAAAGAATGGCTTCAAACAGTGGAAAGTACCACTGGCCAAGTAGCAAAATGCAAGTTTTGTGGAACGATATTAAGAAGTCACTACGGAGATTTAAAAACACATGCTCTTTCGAAAAAGCACCAACAAAATAGAAAGGTAAATTATAGCTTTGTCTTTGTTATTTATAACGGTTCGAACTTGGTCAATTAATGAGGTTGCATTTAAATTTTTCTTATATATTTCATTATTTGTTTGTAGGTTATCACCAAACAACCTAAGCTGACATTCAAAAAGGAGTCCACTGATAATAAAAAGAAAGATGAAGCCAGAGTTGCATTATTTACAGCAATGCATACAAGTATACGAACAGTCGATCATTTAGGAGAAGTTATTAACTATAGCCATGAAAAAGAAATAAATAAAATGTAGATGCACCGAACTAAGTGCACGTATGTAATAAAAAATATTTTAGCATCTCATTTTACAGAACTTATAAATAGGACATTAAAGATCAACCATACAGTTTATTAATAGATGAATCCACAGATATTGCTGTACAAAAATATTTGGGTTTAGTTATAATTTATTACAGCACTACACATGAAAAAATAGTTTCAACTTATTTGGACCTTGCTGAACTCGACGCATGTAATGCTGTAGGTATTGTTTCTGCCATAAAGCGGACGCTTAAACATTTCGACTTGCGAATTGAAAACTTAATGCGTATTGGTACAGATAATGCTTCGGTGATGGTTGGCGTAAATAATGGAGTTTTTGTCCCGATTGAAACAAGAAATACCGCACTTAGTTTTGGTACGTTGTTTATGCCACTCCTTGCAACTGGCTGTTTCAGCAGCAGCAAAGGAATTTCTTCCGCGAAATCTTGAATTTTTAATTAGAGAGACATATGATTGGTTTGCTCGCTTGTCTTCCAGACAAGTTATCTATAAAGAGCTATAGAAATCCATCAACGAAACTCTTAAAATTGTTCAAGCTTGTCAGACTAGATGGTTATCCATAGAGTCTGCTGTGTCGAAAATTTATACGCAATGGCTGGAGCTTAAAACTCATTTTTCGATTGCTAAGTTGCACGAAAGGTACCACACGTCAGAGCTATTGCACTCTATGTATGGGAATGATATAAACTATGCATATGTATCATTTATTTATCCAATTTTGATTGATATAAACAGAGTTAATAAAATATTTGAGTCAAAAAATACGGACCACACCTTATTGTGCAGTGAATTAACAAACTTGATTGATACGCTTGTCACCAAAGTAACGTTGCCTACACATAAGATAGATATCTTTACTCAAAATATTCGTGATTATTTGGACCAAAGATGCTACCTGGGATTCCGATTCGAAAAACAGATTCAAGAAATGAATGAGAACGGTTTTCCACGGGAAGAGGAAGAAGTATTGCGGAATAGGTGCATACAGTTTATAGTTTGTCTGATTGACGAAATAAAAAACAGATTGCCGGAAAATATTACTCTCATGAAACAAATATCCCGTTTAAGTGTCGAAAAAGCCCTGCATCACAACAAAGAAAATCTGGTTAATATAATGGTTCGGTTCGTAACAAGTACAGAATTAATTGCAAAAATTGACGATCAATGGCAGCAAATTCATTTACTGAGACGGAATGAAACAAAAATAAAAAAAAATTTTGGAGCGAAGTCTTGAAATTCAAAGATGCACAAGGTGTTGCTCGATTTCAAGAATTAGCAGCAATTGCGATTACACTTTTGGTATTGTGCCACATTCGAATGCCGATGTGGAAAGACTTTTTAGTAGCATGAATATTATAAAAAACAAGCAGCGAAACAGAATGAAGCTAACTCTTTTGAAATCAATTCTAAAAATACGCTGCGGTATGCAGTTAATGGGAAAGTGCTGCAACAATTATGAAATTCCTTTAAATCTTATAAAACAAATTGGGACGAAGGAGTCATATCAGTCTGATAAGGATAACAGTAAAGCTGAAAATGAAAATGCAGATTCATCTGAAGACGATTTATTAATGTAAATAATATCTTAAGCAACTTGATTTTTTTAATTGCTAAAAGTAAAAAAAAATTATATTAACAACAATAAGATGTTAATAATAAACGTACTTTTACTTTTTTTTTTGCTTTAATCATATTCATATATCTTAGTGGAAATTTTAGTGGTTTTCAAAGGGGGACATCTTTTTGTTAGTGGTTTTCTGGTGGTTTGAGGAGCCTTGTCTGGCAGATTGCTATTTCATCCGTTGGCAAACTACTGTTTCTAACGTTGGTTCTGTTCCTGGAGTGACAATGGCATTTCTGCTTATTCACAATTCCGACGTAAGTATGAAAATGGAATTCATCACCCCAAAATATAGTTTACGGTACGCAGTCGCCTTGACATTGTTTCGCAGTCGCTTTTACGCAAATTGTAGAAAATTATTAGGCGTATGCGATGCATAAATTGAATTTTTAAAGGGTGTAATTTAAGAAGTTTCAAGAATATTATGGATTTGATTCATAAACTTTACACCTGAGAAAAAAGTTAATGGGCATGCGATGGTCGCTAGATTGCCACGCAGACAACGCATCGGTATTTTAATTCCTAATCAAAGATATAGGTATCTCTATAAATGTCTACGAGTCACCGGGTCTTATCCTATAAAATAAATATATTTGCTAAAAGAGCATTCTGTTCTTCAAACTGAAAAAGGATCTCGATGACAACATTGCAAAAATACCATAATTACTAAAAGGTATAGCAACACTAAAAATTGCGGCGGGTTAGAACTCGCATTACCTATTCGGTGTTCTATGACATAACATTATCAGACGAGCGCCTGTCCCTGAACTACTTTGGGTACGTAAAATAAGTATCTACATTAAGCAGGGGTTCATTCATATTTATTTTATACGCTTCCCCCGAAGAAAAGCATTTGAAAATCTTACTTTTATTTCTCACAAATAAACCCCTAATACATAGGTTGTAGTGTTATGCTACTTACATATAATTTTACACTATTTTAAATTTATTTTTCCATTCTGTTTTTGATTTTCTGCATTCACCTCAAAACTGGATATTTTGCATCACCTTTATTTCCATAGGCTCCTGTAACGTTTTTAAACCATAAGAACACAATAACAAATCATTTTCACTTCGTATTTTCACGCTATCAGCACTTTTTAAATCGGTGTCAATGGAGTCTACCTTTTTTCGATCTTTTATTTAGTTCTCCGTAACTCTGCAATTTCGGGCTTCGTGCGCGCTGTTGCGCTACCTTTTTTCCTATATCAATAATATCTCATTTTTCACTTAAATCTTGCCGTTTCTCTATTACGAGCCTGAAACCAAAATTTTACATGTTTTGACATCGTTGTTTATCTGGTTGTCATGGCAATTTTTATTCAAATTCGTTACCGGTCTGATGTTTTTACTTCAAAACTTCCACAAAAATACTCTTTTCTTCTTGACCATTTACAAAAATTTGTTTTTAATTTAAATAATTTCCCGTTCTTATCTCAGATCCGTCGTCGAGCGCGGAGCTCTCTAAAAAAAAAGTATAAAAGCCGAACAATCTGCCAATACAGTCCTCACTTTCAAGCCCCACGTCAAAAGAGTAACCCGTCACGCACGTTTTTATCTGAGTAGGCTCAACAGTATGTTGGGCCGACACAGTAAAATGTCCCTTCGAAACAAGCGTACACTCTATAAGGTATGTATACGACCAGTCATGTCCTACGCGGGCCCCGTCTTTGCCCACGCAAACCCTAACATTTTAAATGAACTCCAAATAGTTCAGAACCTATTCTGTCGTCGAGCTGCGAACGCACCGTGGTACGTCCGCAATGCCGACCTTCATCGGGACTTAGAGCTCCCAACAATTCAACAATTTCTTAAAAAACTCTCTGAGAACTTCTTCAAAGCCTCAGAGTCGCACCCAAACCACTTAATTCGTGAGGCAGCTTCTTATGCAGCCCCACCCCCCTCTCGCTATCGTGTCCGCAGGCCGAGAAACTCTCTCTCGGACCCGCCTAATAAACTTTCAAACGACCTGAACTGTCTCCTGGCAGCTCAGGCCAACTCTAATTAAATAAAATTATTGTAATATCTGACATTAATTTGCCTTCGTAGGCACTCCCTCAGCGGCACTTAGCCGCCTGCGCCCTCTTTTCCCAAAAGAGGGTCGCTCATGATAAGGCACAATAGAGCTTAATCAGCCGGTTGCCTGTCCCTAAAGGCGGTTTTTAGGGGGTATCACTTAGGGTCCCCGGTAGGACAGTGAGTCCCCCATAACCACGATAGACCGGCTATCGTGGTATGCGTAATGCATTTTCCGCCTCCCTACGTACAGGGTAGCCCTTTAATTGCTTCGGGCGCAAAAAAAAAAAAAAAAAAAATCGGCCAATACAGTCAGTCTCGCTTCAGCTTTCAAACTAGAAGCATCTCCTAAAGGCCTTATCCCGGGGCCGCACTGCCCCGGGATCCTGCAAGCCTCTGCCTTCACCTGAAGTCGTCGCCTAGCCACGCCTACGCCTCCACCTACTAGTGCCCGCGCTATCTTTAGCCGCTGTGCGTGCTTGCTTCAAGCGCTGCGTGTGCCTACTCCGGGAGCTGCGTTCTCCGGGAGCTGCGTGTGCCTACTCCGGGCGCTGTGTGTGCCTACTCCAAGCGCTGCGTGTACCTACTCCAGACGCTGCGTGTGCCTACTCCGGGCGCTGTGTGTGCCTAGATCAGGCGCTGCGCACCAACCACAGGCATAGCTTGTGCATACTCCGTGAGCGGTGAGCACCACTGCCAAGCGCGGTGTGCCACCTTGGTCTTCGGGCTCCGTTTCAGTACTCATTTATCTTCGTTATTTTTTTTAAATAATTGTAATTCACGTCACCCATCATCATCCTCATATTTTTTTTATATAAAAAAACTGTAAATTTCTTTTAAAATTTTAAATAAATTATTCGTTTTTTTGTTGTTTCGTTGTTGTTAGGTTAGGTTCTTTTGTTTTTAATTGTCGCTTTACGACAAGGTACTATCTAGCTTTGGTATATAGGTACTTTGTAATATACAAAATCATAAAACTTATGTAATAGTTTTCTTACGCTGTAAAGTAGCGGCGTAAGAAAACCTACTACCTCGTATCATCCCGTGGGTATCGTAAGCGATGGAGGGAAACTGATACAGGAAATGGGCATCCACATCTTCCTGATAAAAACCGATATCAATAAAAAATGACTGCGCGGGACAACTTTGACAAAACCCTTCCTATGTGACTATTTATGGGGGATGTCCATATTTATTATAATGTATTGTGAGGTTGTAATGAGTAGTAGGTACTGAAAAAATAGTCTACTTATTATAAACATAATTAAAAGTTGGGATCTACCAAACCTCAACTAAAGATACATAATTAATAATAATTCTTTTATTTCAGACTT